CAGTGACACCAGTGACCCTGATGGCACCAGTGGAACCAGTGACACCAGTGACCCCAATAGCACCAGTGGCACCAGTGGTAGCAGTGACACCAGTGACACCAGTGACACCAGTCACCCTGATGGCACCAGTGACACCAGTGACCCCAATAGCACCAGTGGAACCAGTGGTAGCAAGTGACAGCAGTGACCCTGATGGCACCAGTGGAACCAGTGGCACCAGAGACAGTGGCACCAGTGACACCAGTGAAACAGTGGAACCGGTGACCCCGATGGCACCAGTGGAACCAGTGGCACCAGTGGAACCAGTGACCCCGAGGGCACCAGTGACCCTCATGGCACCAGTGACACCAGTGGAACCGGTGATCCCGATGGCACCAGTGACACCAGTGGCACATCTCAGTGGCAGGGAGTGGCACCAGTGACACCAGTGGAACCAGTGACCCCCATGGCACCAGTGACACCAGTGACACCAGTGGCACCAGTAGAATGTGTGGAACCAGTGACACCAGTGACCCCATGACACCAGTGACACCAGTGGAACTGGTGACCCCAATGGCACCAGTGACACCAGTGACCCTGATGGCACCAGTGACCCCCATGGCACCAGTGACACCAGTGGCACCAGTGGAAGCAGTGACCCCAATTGCACCAGTGGAACCAGCGACACCAGTGACACCAGTGGAACCAGTGACACCAGTGGCACCAGTGGCACCAGTGGAACCGATGACCCTGATGGCACCAGTGGAACCAGTGACACCAATTGCACCAGCGACACCAGTGACACCAGTGGAACCGATGACCCTGATGGCACCAGTGGCACCAGTGACACCAGTGGAATGAGTGATACCAGTGGAACCAGTGGCACCAGTGGAACCAGTGACCCTGATGGTACCAGTGGAACCAGTGGAACCAGTGACCCCAATAGCACCAGCAACACCAGTGGAACCAGTGGTAGCAGTGACACCAGTGACACCAGTGACCCTCATGGCACCAGTGACCCCAATTGCACCAGTGGAACCAGTGGCACCAGTGACCCTGATGGCACCAGTGGAACCAGTGACACCAGTGACCCCAATAGCACCAGTGGCACCAGTGGTAGCAGTGACACCAGTGACACCAGTGACACCAGTCACCCTGATGGCACCAGTGACACCAGTGACCCCAATAGCACCAGTGGAACCAGTGGTAGCAAGTGACAGCAGTGACCCTGATGGCACCAGTGGAACCAGTGACACCAGTGACACCAGTGGCACCAGTAGAATGTGTGGAACCAGTGACACCAGTGACCCCATGACACCAGTGACACCAGGGGAACTGGTGACCCCAATGGCACCAGTGACACCAGTGACACCAGTGGCACCAGTAGAATGTGTGGAACCAGTGACACCAGTGACCCCATGACACCAGTGACACCAGTGGAACTGGTGACCCCAGTGGCACCAGTGACACCAGTGACCCTGATGGCACCAGTGGAACCAGTGACACCAGTGACCCCAATAGCACCAGTGGCACCAGTGGTACCAGTGACACCAGTGACACCAGTCACCCTGATGGCACCAGTGACACCAGTGACCCCAATAGCACCAGTGGCACCAGTGGTAGCAGTGACACCAGTGACACCAGTCACCCTGATGGCACCAGTGACACCAGTGGTAGCAGTGACACCAGTGACACCAGTCACCCTGATGGCACCAGTGGCACCAGTGGTAGCAGTGACACCAGTGACACCAGTCACCCTGATGGCACCAGTGACACCAGTGACCCCAATAGCACCAGTGGAACCAGTGGTAGCAAGTGACAGCAGTGACCCTGATGGCACCAGTGGAACCAGTGGCACCAGAGACAGTGGCACCAGTGACACCAGTGAAACAGTGGAACCGGTGACCCCGATGGCACCAGTGGAACCAGTGGCACCAGTGGAACCAGTGACCCCGAGGGCACCAGTGACCCTCATGGCACCAGTGACACCAGTGGAACCGGTGATCCCGATGGCACCAGTGACACCAGTGGCACATCTCAGTGGCAGGGAGTGGCACCAGTGACACCAGTGGAACCAGTGACCCCCATGGCACCAGTGACACCAGTGACACCAGTGGCACCAGTAGAATGTGTGGAACCAGTGACACCAGTGACCCCATGACACCAGTGACACCAGTGGAACTGGTGACCCCAATGGCACCAGTGACACCAGTGACCCTGATGGCACCAGTGACCCCCATGGCACCAGTGACACCAGTGGCACCAGTGGAACCAGTGACACCAGTGGCACCAGTGGCACCAGTGGAACCGATGACCCTGATGGCACCAGTGGAACCAGTGACACCAATTGCACCAGCGACACCAGTGACACCAGTGGAACCGATGACCCTGATGGCACCAGTGGCACCAGTGACACCAGTGGAATGAGTGATACCAGTGGAACCAGTGGCACCAGTGGAACCAGTGACCCTGATGGTACCAGTGGAACCAGTGGAACCAGTGACCCCAATAGCACCAGCAACACCAGTGGAACCAGTGGTAGCAGTGACACCAGTGACACCAGTGACCCTCATGGCACCAGTGACCCCAATTGCACCAGTGGAACCAGTGGCACCAGTGACCCTGATGGCACCAGTGGCACCAGTGGTAGCAGTGACACCAGTGACACCAGTGACACCAGTGACCCTGATGGCACCAGTGGCACCACTGGAACCAGTGATCCCGATGGCACCAGTGGAATGAGTGATACCAGTGGAACCAGTGGCACCAGTGGAACCAGTGACACCAGTGGCACCAGTGGCACCAGTGGAACCGATGACCCTGATGGCACCAGTGGAACCAGTGACACCAATTGCACCAGCGACACCAGTGACACCAGTGGAACCGATGACCCTGATGGCACCAGTGGCACCAGTGACACCAGTGGAATGAGTGATACCAGTGGAACCAGTGGCACCAGTGGAACCAGTGACCCTGATGGTACCAGTGGAACCAGTGGAACCAGTGACCCCAATAGCACCAGCAACACCAGTGGAACCAGTGGTAGCAGTGACACCAGTGACACCAGTGACCCTCATGGCACCAGTGACCCCAATTGCACCAGTGGAACCAGTGGCACCAGTGACCCTGATGGCACCAGTGGCACCAGTGGTAGCAGTGACACCAGTGACACCAGTGACACCAGTGACCCTGATGGCACCAGTGGCACCACTGGAACCAGTGATCCCGATGGCACCAGTGGAATGAGTGATACCAGTGGAACCAGTGGCACCAGTGGCACCAGTGACCCTGATGGCACCAGTGGAACCAGTGACACCAGTGACCCCAATAGCACCAGTGGCACCAGTGGTAGCAGTGACACCAGTGACACCAGTGACACCAGTCACCCTGATGGCACCAGTGACACCAGTGACCCCAATAGCACCAGTGGAACCAGTGGTAGCAAGTGACACCAGTGACCCTGATGGCACCAGTGGAACCAGTGACACCAGTGACACCAGTGACCCTGATGGCACCAGTGGAACCAGTGACACCAGTGACCCCAATAGCACCAGTGGCACCAGTGGTAGCAGTGACACCAGTGACACCAGTGACACCAGTCACCCTGATGGCACCAGTGACACCAGTGACCCCAATAGCACCAGTGGAACCAGTGGTAGCAAGTGACAGCAGTGACCCTGATGGCACCAGTGGAACCAGTGGCACCAGAGACAGTGGCACCAGTGACACCAGTGAAACAGTGGAACCGGTGACCCCGATGGCACCAGTGGAACCAGTGGCACCAGTGGAACCAGTGACCCCGAGGGCACCAGTGACCCTCATGGCACCAGTGACACCAGTGGAACCGGTGATCCCGATGGCACCAGTGACACCAGTGGCACATCTCAGTGGCAGGGAGTGGCACCAGTGACACCAGTGGAACCAGTGACCCCCATGGCACCAGTGACACCAGTGACACCAGTGGCACCAGTAGAATGTGTGGAACCAGTGACACCAGTGACCCCATGACACCAGTGACACCAGTGGAACTGGTGACCCCAATGGCACCAGTGACACCAGTGACCCTGATGGCACCAGTGACCCCCATGGCACCAGTGACACCAGTGGCACCAGTGGAAGCAGTGACCCCAATTGCACCAGTGGAACCAGCGACACCAGTGACACCAGTGGAACCAGTGACACCAGTGGCACCAGTGGCACCAGTGGAACCGATGACCCTGATGGCACCAGTGGAACCAGTGACACCAATTGCACCAGCGACACCAGTGACACCAGTGGAACCGATGACCCCAATGGCACCAGTGGCACCAGTGGTAGCAGTGACACCAGTGACACCAGTCACCCTGATGGCACCAGTGACACCAGTGACCCCAATAGCACCAGTGGCACCAGTGGTAGCAGTGACACCAGTGACACCAGTCACCCTGATGGCACCAGTGACACCAGTGGTAGCAGTGACACCAGTGACACCAGTCACCCTGATGGCACCAGTGGCACCAGTGGTAGCAGTGACACCAGTGACACCAGTCACCCTGATGGCACCAGTGACACCAGTGACCCCAATAGCACCAGTGGAACCAGTGGTAGCAAGTGACAGCAGTGACCCTGATGGCACCAGTGGAACCAGTGGCACCAGAGACAGTGGCACCAGTGACACCAGTGAAACAGTGGAACCGGTGACCCCGATGGCACCAGTGGAACCAGTGGCACCAGTGGAACCAGTGACCCCGAGGGCACCAGTGACCCTCATGGCACCAGTGACACCAGTGGAACCGGTGATCCCGATGGCACCAGTGACACCAGTGGCACATCTCAGTGGCAGGGAGTGGCACCAGTGACACCAGTGGAACCAGTGACCCCCATGGCACCAGTGACACCAGTGACACCAGTGGCACCAGTAGAATGTGTGGAACCAGTGACACCAGTGACCCCATGACACCAGTGACACCAGTGGAACTGGTGACCCCAATGGCACCAGTGACACCAGTGACCCTGATGGCACCAGTGACCCCCATGGCACCAGTGACACCAGTGGCACCAGTGGAACCAGTGACACCAGTGACACCAGCGACACCAGTGGAACCAGTGGTAGGTGACACCAGTGACACCAGTGACCCTGATGGCACCAGTGGCACCAGTGACACCAGTGGAACCAGTGACCCCATGACACCAGTGACACCAGTGGAACTGGTGACCCCAATGGCACCAGTGGAACCAGTGACACCAGTGGAAGCAGTGACCCTGATGGCACCAGTGACACCAGTGGAACCAGTGACACCAGTGACCCCACTAGCACCAGCGACACCAGTGGAACCAGTGGTAGGTGACACCAGTGACACCAGTGACCCTGATGGCACCAGTGGCACCAGTGACACCAGTGGAACCAGTGACCCAGATGGCACCAGTGACCCTGATGGCACCAGTGACACCAGTGACACCAGTGACACATCTCAGTGGCAGGGAGGTCCCAGGGCTCTCTGTCCCAGTGCTCCCAGTATCCCCACAGTCTCTATCCCAGTGCTCCCAGTGCCGCCGGTGTTCCCATCCCAGTGTCTCCCAGTGCTCCCAGTCCCCCATTGCAGTGTCCCCAGCGTCCCTGTCCCAGTAGCTCCCAGTGTCTCCCAGGACCCCCAGTGCCCCCGTCCCAGTAGCTCCCAGTGTCTCCATCCCAGTGCTCCCAGTGCCCCCGTCCCAGTAGCTCCCAGTGTCCCCCAGCACCCCCAGTGCCCCCCTCCCAGTAGCTCCCAGTGTCCCTGTCCCAGTGCTCCCAGTAGCTCCCAGTGTCCCCCAGCACCTCAAGTGTCCCCTCCCAGTGCTCCCAGTGCTCCCAGTGTCCCCCAGCACCTCCAGTGTCCCCTCCCAGTGCTCCCAGTGCCCCTGTCCCAGTGCTCCCAGTGTCCCCCAGCACCTCAAGTGTCCCCTCCCAGTGCTCCCAGTGTCCCCGTCCCAGTGCTCCCCGTGCTCCCAGTGTTCCCAGTAGCTCCCAGTGCCCCTGTCCCAGTGCTCCCAGTGTCCCCCAGCACCTCCAGTGTCCCCTCCCAGTGCTCCCAGTGTCCCCGTCCCAGTGCTCCCCGTGCTCCCAGTGTTCCCAGTAGCTCCCAGTGCCCCTGTCCCAGTGCTCCCAGTGTCCCCCAGCACCTCGTGTCCCCATCCCAGTAGCTCCCAGTGCTCCCATTGCTCCCAGTAGCTCCCAGTGTCCCTGTCCCAGTGCTCCCAGTGTCCCCCAGTAGCTCCCAGTGTCCCCGTCCCAGTACTCCCAGTAGCTCCCAGTGTCCCCCAGCACCTCCAGTGTCCCCTCCCAGTAGCTCCCAGTGTCCCTGTCCCAGTGCTCCCAGTAACAACCAGTGTCCCTGTCCCAGTGCTCCCAGTAGCAACCAGTAGCTCCCAGTACCCCCAGTGCCCCCCAGTAGCTCCCAGTTTCCCCTCCCAGTGCTCCCAGTGCTCCCAGTTTCTCTCCCAGTAGCTCCCAGTTCACACTGGGGGGAGCATCACTCTCACTTTCACTC